TTCAGACATGCCTCCACCCTCTTCCAATTCTGACACCACTGTTCTTCCACAACATACATACTCCTTTACTGTTGGGTTCTATAATCCATTATAATGGCAACACAGAATTCACAGACCATACTTAGTGATTATGGAGTTTATTAGGATAGTTAACAGGTTACATTTCAGGATCAGAAATGTAGAGGACACAGTTCTTTGATCAGGATAACCACTTTTCAGCTGTGCCCACAAGCAAGCCTCTGGCCTCTACCTTGCTTGGACAATTTTACAAAGCTCTCTTAGCACTGCTGATAAGTGCTCAAAGAACATACCATTCCACCATAAGCCTCAGCCCAAAGGTGCTCAGCTCTATGAATCAACAAAGTATCGTCTAGTTTCCCCAGATTAAGTACGTGGAGGCACCCTACTCTGTAAGCAAGCCTGCTTTCCAAAGGTACTCAGCTTTCCTGCTCTGTGGGCCAGGAAACCCACTGCTTTCTCAGGTGTTCTGGGTCTTGGTTCTGCTACTCCAGTGTCTTAGCCACTTCTGGTGTCACAGCTTTCTGTCCCTGGATCAAGGAGATTCCGTGCACAAGGATCTCGGAGTCAGCAGGACATCTTCTACTCTGGTTCTTCTTTCTTAATGGCAGCAACATTTTCCTCCGCCTGCTTCTTCTGAGATGGCTTCTTTTCACCCAAGATGGTGAAATTGACCAATCCCCACATTAGAGTTTAAATTTTCACATTTGCAGTTAACCCTGTTGGCATTCACAATTGAATCATATAATCCTATGAACTGCTTCCCTACCTTCTCTTACTCAGACTAACAGGAAAAGAAGAAATACAACCAATATGTATGGTCCCATCCAGGTATCTGGTGGGAGCCACCTAGACTTGCTAGATGAGCCATATTAATTAACTCATTGTTCTGTAGGTGGGAACTCGTTTAATGGGGTTTTAGGAAATTGCATAATATAAACTAAATTCTAAAAGAAGAATAAAGGCTAGGTGAAAAATGTGGCAAAGGTAGTTCAGGTAGAAAGGTGATCATACTCAGGTAGTTGAAAAGGCTCCAGTGCAGTGTGGGTGTATGAAAAGGAAGGGACCTTGGTGATAAGGAGCATTTTTCCAGGTCATGAAATACCTTGTGTAGCCGTAGATGAAAGCCGGCATTGGTGACAGACATCCTTTTCTTTCTCCTATTTAGGTGTCCCACAGACTCTTCAATGGCTTGAAATAAGTGTGCAGACTTGTTGACCTCCACCTTCATCATCTGGGCATCAGATATTATTTTCTTAAGGTTTTAAACATGCCATCTGTTTCTAATTTGTGTACGTTTGTGTTAACCTCATGGATTTTGGCATGGGCAAGTAACGTCTATCATTAGTACTAATTCCATCTTAATAAAATTCAGTGATATACGGACCTGACTCGTGATTTTTAATGAGTGAGAATGGTGTAGGGTTGGAAGAGGAACATGACCTTGAGCCTGATAAGGAAAGGGCACCTGGGTAGTCTGCTGTCACTAGGAAATCACTTTCAGGGAGATTTGAGCTGTAAGTAAATATGTTAAAAATAATAACAAGGAAAAGAGTTACTATGTTAGACAAAGTTCTCCAGAGAAATTAAACCAGGACACCTATGATTTTATATATATAATATATATGGATAGATACATACAGCATAAAAAGAATATACCGGATAATAAGTCCACACAGCAGTACAGAGGGCTCAGTTCAACTCATGAGGGCTTCTGGGTCCAAGGTCAAGGAAGCAGTGCAGGCAGTCTGGCCACAGGCTTCAAACAGCAGGACAGGTCAATAGCCAGATGACAGGATCCAACAGTCCCAAGCTCAAGCATGACGAAGCCGGTCTCGAAGGAAGCTCTAGCGACAGGATCCAGATACTCGGGTTGGGTGATCCACAGGTGGTGCTCACAAGTTGAGGCAAAGAACTAGCTAAGGCAGCCACACACTGGTCTGATTACCAGAGA